GAGCGACACCACGGACCTTGTTGTGCGCTCTCCCCCCCCCTCTCTCCCTCTCCCTCTCCCCTTCCTGTTTCTCCCATATATATATATATATATATATGGGCGCATCCTCCCCTTCTCCCACTTGCATCATCCTCCTGTACCAACATTCCCCCCCCCCCTCCCCGCCCCCGCGGCCTTTCCCCTGTGCCTCTTCGCAGAAAGTCCCCGAGGCCCGAGTCCCCATCATCAAGATGAAGTTCTGCGGGGTGGAGATCGACCTGCTCTTCGCCAAGCTGAACTTCGCCTCGATCCCGGACAACTTCAGCCTCATGGACCCGCGTGTGGACCAGGAGCACGACCAAAATACCCTTCGGTCGCTGAATGGCCCACGCGTGGCGCAGGATCTCCTGGCCAATGTGCCGAATGCGCAGAACTTCTGCCAGGCCTTGCGCGCCATCAAGCACTGGGCCCAACGCCGAGCCATCTACTCCAACCCCCTGTGCTATGTGGGCGGCATTGCGCTGGCCATCATGGTCGGCCGGGTGGCTCAGCTCTATCCGAACGCCTCGCCGTCGATGCTAGTGCACAACTTCTTCCGCGTGTATCACATGTGGTGCGTTGTGTCCTCCCTCTGCCTTTCCCTCTTGGCCGCCTCCCTCTTGGCCGCGGGCATGTGCGCCTGCCTGGACATCTCGTGCTTACTCCCCCCCCCTCCTCCCCTCCCCCCTCCAACCCCCTCTTGTCCGCTGTTCCCTTCATCATCTCCCTGTCCTCCGGCGAGCGTGCCTCAGGAATTGGAAGATCCCGGTCATCATCAAGAGCATTGACTACTCCAAGCCATTGCCGCAGTGGGCCCCGCCGCTGCCGAATCGCGGCCCGCAGCCGGTCATGCCGATCATTACCCCCACCTACCCAGTCATGAATTCCACCTACAACGTCACCCAGTCGACGTACGCCCGGATGAAGGAGGAAATCCGCCGCGGTACGTCGCACATCTGCCACCTCTTCCTCTGGCCCTGCATGATGACCCACACATGCTCCCCCCCCATCCTCCCCCCCTCGCAGGTGTGACCATCCTCAACCGGCACGATCCCAGCGCCGTCACCAAGCCCGCCGCCGGTGAGCCGTACGCCGCTGCCGACAAGGCTCTGCTGGCAGACTTCGACACCAAGAACCTGGAGGAGCTCTTCGACCACACGGACTTCTTCACACACTATGGCCTGTATTTGGAGATTATCGTGGCCTCGCGCGGGGACGCCGACCACGCCTCTTGGTGCGCGCCTTCTTCGCCCTGCCTCTTTCCCCCTCTTCCGGCCATTTCTTCCTTTCGCGCGCTCTCTCCCCCTTTCCCCCTTTCCCCCTCTCTCGCTCCTTCCTTCGCCATCTTGCCTCTTCGGGCCGCATGAAGTGCTGCCTCGGGCCCGCGCTTCCCTGTCAGGTGCTGGGCCTCGCGCGGCCCCTGCTCGTTTGGCAGCCGCCCTGCTCTTCGCCGGCTTGTTGAACTTCCACCACCGATGCGGCTGCCCTGGCCCGCCGGCCGCATCTGTCGGCACGCCCCCTCCCAGCCCCATCCTTATACGCTCCCCCTAACGCCTGTCACTCTCACACATCCGGTGTCTTGCTCTCCCCTCCCTCCCGTGGGGCCTTCAAATGGCACCGCTGCCATCTCTCCTTGGTCGCCGCCGTCGCCGCTGCTGCTGCCGTCGCCGCCGCCGCTGCCGTTGTCACTTCGCGCTCATGCTCGCGCACTGGCCGCGAGCAGGAAGGGCTTCGTCGAGTCGCGCATGCGTGTGCTCATCCACAACTTGGAGAAGGTCCCGATTCTGAAGACCGCGGCTCCCTTCAACCGGGCCATCCCCCACACCGACCCGGATGCCCAGCGCCTGGCCATGCTACCATGCAATCCGAATGACCCGAACGAGCTGAAGACCATGGGCGAAGGTCCGGTCAGCCAGATGTCCTCCTTCTTTGTGGGCATCTCCCTCATGTCCAAGGCCGAGCGCAAGGCTCTGGCCTCGCGCACGGGCGACACGCAATCCCTCAGCCTGACGGAGCCCTGCCGGGAATTCATGGTCAACCTTTTTGAGTACCAGTCCCGCTTCCAGGGGCTGATTGCACGCTTCCGCCACTACCGCCAGGAAAGCCTGCCGGAGTTTGTCTTCGAGAGTCTGGGCCTCGGGGCGCCGGGCCGGCGGCGGAAGAAGCGCCGCGCCGCGGATGCCGGGGAGACCACGCCGGAGACTGCGGCCGACGGGGCTGCCGGGGCCGAGACCTCGTCGCCGGATGCCACCTCCGCCGGCTCGGCCGTGCCCGACAGCGCTGCCACCCCCGACATCGAGCCGGAGGCCAAGCGCCAGCGGGTGGCCAGCTGATGCACGTGCGCATGGCGTACTTTGCGATGGCCTGTTGCACCGATTGGCTGCGAGTCTCCCGAGCACCGGCATCCCCCCCTCCTCGCTCCTCTTCCCGTCTCCGGATGCGTGCGTTGCCACCCGCTCGCCCTTTGCTTTCCGCCCCGCTCTTGTCGGTGTGTGTGTGTGTGTGTGTGTATTTGTGTGTGTGTTTGTGTTGTGCTCTTCGGCCAGGCCCGCATTGCGTGTCACCTCTGTGTGTATGTCTATGTGTCGGTGTATTTGTGTCCGCACGCGCGTCTCCCGCCTCCTCCCCCTTCCCCCATCCAGCCCCCCTTGTCCTTGCGTCCTCAACTCGCCGGACACCCATGTCGGTGTCCGTGTCTCCCGCTCTTTCTTTCGCCCCGCCCATGTACGCGTCAATAAAGGAGAACCCATCAAGCTGCGGGTGTTTTGGCCATGGAGCCGGCAAGTAGACGATTAAAGGGCGGGGGGGCGGGGGCAAACGGGGAAGCAAGCAGGGGGGAGAGAGGGGGGGGGGGAGAGTCTATTGTGGCGGCGGTAGAGTGGCACGCAAGGTCACGCAAGGTCGCTCGGGAGCCGGCGAAAGGGCAGAAAAGCGGGCGCCCCCGCCGCTGGCCAGGCGGGCCGCCCATCCAGCAGGGGCATCCGCGGCCATGAGGCAGGGGTCAGAAGCGCCGGACACACGGGCCCCGGCGCGGGAACCCAAGGAGGATCGGGTCCGGGGATGGTCGTGCCCGATGGCCAGTTCCAGGAGCCGGGCCGGGTGCTGGCATGCGAGGATGCGACCGCGGCCGGGGGGGTGGCCGGCGCTGTCGGGCCTGGCCCCGGGGCCCGGGGGGCGTCACCGGCCACGGGGCCCTCCAGCTCCTCCGCCGAGGGTAGATCGTCCGGGGCCATGACCGATTGCTCGGCCTGGGCCAGGAGCCCGGCCAGGGCGCGGAGACTGCGTCCCGATGCGGCGGCCGCGCGCCGGGTGTACTCCGCCTCGTCGTCACTGTGCCCGGGTGCTGCATTTTGGTCGGTGTCGTTGGGTTTGGCCGCGGAGGGGGGGCTGGCCGCCGGCTCGGCCGTCAGGTAGTCGCCAATGAGGCCGGGCAGGACTGGCGGACAGGGGAAGATCCGCATCCCGGGCTCGGGACCGGCCAGATCCCCGCCATTCATCAGGGCAAAGTAGTCGCCATCATCCCCGGGCGGAGGGCCGCTCTCGGGGAGGACTTCGGCGCCGAGTAGAGGGGCAAGCCGCCGGACGGCCGCCAGCCGGTCAACCAGCACCACGGCCCCGAAGGACCCGAAGCGCCCCGCGCGGCCGGCCCGATGGAAGTACTGGGCCGCCTGCTCGGCATCCAGCGGGCCCATGGGCACTGGCGCTTTGGTGGGGCCCTCGTCCGGTGCATGGCCCGGGGGTCCGGACGTGCCGACGTCCAGCATGGCCACGAGGTTGACGCGCTCGAGGTCCACCCCGCGCGCGGCCAGGTCCGTCGATACCAGCACCCGGGCGGTGCTGGAGCGAAGGGCCTGCAGCGCGCGCACCCGGGCCTCCTGCTCCTCCAGCGAGGAGAGTGCCACCACGCGGTGGCCCAGGCGCTCCAGGGCGGTGGCCACCGCGGAGACGTGGCTCCGCCGCCGGGCGAAGACCACCGCCTGGTGCACCGGGCCAGGGGTGTTGGCATGGAGGAGTTCCGACAGCCGGTGGACTTTGGCCGTCAGGTCTGGTCCCGATCGATGCAGCGAGTCAGCGAAGGGCGGGAGATGGCTGGTTGCCTGGGCAGGTGCACAGGCACAGGCGCATGCCAGGCACATCCAAGCACATGCACCCATGGGCACACACACATACACATGCACAAGTACTTGTAGGCATCTGCATATATTTACACACATGCACGGACACGGACATGGACATAGGCACAGGCATGTCCATAGGCACGGACGCACACACAAGCACACACAAGCACACACAGGCACACACAAGCACACACAGGCACACACAAGCACACACAAGCACACACAAGCACACACAAGCACACTTGAGAGGACGCAAAATTCACCTGAGAGCCTGCATGCCCGTATGGGCGTACCTTCAACTTCCGGGTCGTCGGCCGGCAGGCCGAGAGCGCTGGCAACAATCGAGGCCAGCGCCCCTGGCGGGGCCGTCCCAAGACCTGGGTCCAGGTGAAAGTGCGCAAGGCCACGCAGGGCCGGACGATCGCCACGACCGACGGCCACCAGCACCGGTGATGGCGCCGGACCAAGGGCTCGGCCGCCGACCGGCCGGCCATACACCACCTCGCCGGCCAGACGCCGGACACCCGGGGGCCAGGTGGCCGACACTAGGATGGTCTGCCGGTCGCCGGGAGCCGGGCATGCGCGCACCACTCGCAGCAAATCCCGGTGGAAGGGGGTGGTGCTGCTGCTCGTGGTGCCGTCGCTGCCGCCGCCGCCGCCGCCGCCGCCGCCGCCGCCAGCGCCACTGCCACGCCCGGGACCCAAGCCGCGGAAGAGCAGATCCGCCTCATCCAGAACAAGGATGCGCACGCGGCCGAGGCGCAGATCCCCGGCCTCCAGCAAGTGCCCCAGACGCCCGGGGGTGCCAACGACCACCGGGGCCAGGCGCGGATCGCCGAAGCTCCGCCGGCCATCTTGCACCGATTGCCCGCCGATGCATAGGGCCACCCAGGCCCCGGGGCCGGAGCCGGCGGGCTCCGGCAGGCAGGCGCGCAGGACGTCGGCGATTTGGATGGCGATCTCGCGCGTCGGGGCCACCACCAAGGCTCGAGTGGGATCGACCGGGGGCCCATGCGCCCCGGGGCCAGGGGAAGTGGACGCGGCGGCGCCCGCCGCCGCCGCCGCCGCCGCTCGGCTGGCCCCGCGGTCCGACAGAACCAGCTCTGCGATGGGGATGGCAAAGACCAAGGTCTTGCCGGTGCCCGAGGCGCTCTGCACGACGAGATCGGCCCCGGCGCGAGCTACGGGCAGGGCGGCCGCCTGGACCGGCGAGGGCTGGCAGTAGCCGGCCAAGCGGATTGCTCGCAGGACGGCCGGGTGCAGGAGAAACCGGTCGAAGTGCCGGGGGCCGGGCGTGCCGGTCGCGGGGCCGGGCTCGGGGAGGGGCGCGTCATCCGGCGCATTGAAATCAAATCGACCGACTGTGACCGTGGGCGCGGGAGGGCCGCCGGCCGTGGGAGCGTCCCCTGCTGACAGGGCTATGTCGGCCGTGCGCCGGCGCTCACTGACGAGGTGCGCGCGCCCCGAGTGGAAGGAGGCCTGGAAGTGGCGCGCCTTCCGGGCGGCCGGGCGGCCAGGCGGTGGCTGTGGCTGCGACGCCGGGGGCGGCCGCGGCGGGGCCATCTCTCCAGGGGGAGGGGGGTGTAGGGGCGGGCAGCAGGCCAGGGGGAACCACAAGGGAGAAGGGGTCGACCGGGCGAGCGCAGGTAGCCCCAAAGGAAGAAAGAAGGAAGAAAGAAGGAAGAAAGAGAGCGCTGGCGGCGGCGGGGGAGGCGGGGGGACAACAACAGGAGAGAGGACTCTTCTTCGGCCGTGGAGAGGGCTCCGGGCTGGGCGGCGGCCAAAAAGCTATCTACCGATCGCACCGGCGTGGCGGGCTGCTATACGGGGGGGGGGGGGGGGGGAAACGGGCCAGCAGGCGTTGGCAGCAGTGCCGGCAATGGGAAACTAAATTTGTTAACCGGCCCCGGATCGGCCGGGCGGCGCGGCGGTTCCGTCGGCCCTGCATGCGTGAGGCCCGGGTCGGCGGAGGGGAGATCGGAAGAAAAACCCTATTAAATAATGCTTTCTTCCGGAGCGACAGACCCGGGCCAGGGACTGCTGGCCTGGGCGCGGGAGGCCGAGCCAGCACCGAGAGTTAACCCGTCTTCGGTGCTGGGCCATGCAAAGCCTCTCGCGCTCTCGATTCTACGGACACGCGTCTCGCGCGCATCCCGCGCCGAAGAAGACCCGGGGAATATATGGCCCGCAGGCGTTCAAGTACCCATGGCCGCGTAGCTCAATTGGATAGAGCACCTGACTACGGATCAGGAGGTTGTGTGTTCGAGCCGCATCGTGGTCAATATTTTTTTGGATCCCGGCTGGGCGGCCGCCTTTTGACATGAGGGAGCGTGTGGAATACATGTGTGTGTGTGTGTGTGTGTGTGTGTGTGTGCACCATGCATGCGCGGGGCCGCACACTCGGCCCCGGTGGTGGCAGCCCCCCCCCCCCCCCGCCTCCGGCAGGACGCGGTCCTTGGTTGTGGATGTGTGTACGTGCGCGTGCGTACGTGGGGGGCACCCGGGCCGGGGGCGGGGCCGTGTTTGTGTGAACTGCCAGGCGGACGGGGGGAGGCGCATACCGGGGCGCACCAGATCCGCGGGGTGCGGGCGGGGGGCAGGGCCATGAACACCCGTGCGTAACACAGAGTGCTCTGGTGGCTGGGGACAACGTCGGCGACGGGGTGGCGGTCGCTTCCGGCGGCGTCCGGGTCCGGCCCCCCACCCGCCCAGACCCGGGGGGGGGGGCCGCGGTACCGTTGGTAACTGGAGGGCCGGGGCCGGCGCTTTTTCCCGCGCCGCGCAGTGCCAGCCTGACCCGGCGCGGGAGGCGAGCCCGGGCGCGGCCGCCCACTTCGGCACGGCGTGCCGTCTGTCAGGCCTGTCTGGACGCCGCGGCCAGCCGGGGGACCTCCTCCTGGCTGCTGGTGGGGGCCGTTATTCCGGCCCCTGGCGGCCAGTCCTCCTCAGGGGCTTGGGGCCAAGCGGCGCCTGCGCGGCCGCGCCTCCGTCCAAGAGGAATGCCCGCCGGGAGGGGGGGGGGGGGG